AGTACTTCCCCCTCACCGAAGTTATTAAAACCATCTCGTAAGCAACGAAGGACTCTCAGTTCCGCATCAGACATCATGAGGATCGCGTTTGTTGACATTCAAGGCTTTACAGTTGACGGATTATTCGTACCTAAAGAACTATGTATCGAAATTGGTTTCAAGAAAAGTCATTACATCTTTACACCTCCGCAACCTTTTTCTACATTAAATACTAAAGACAAGAAAACTGTCGCTTACTTGGAGAAGAATTTCCATGGGCTTAAATATTCTTCCGGCGACGTTAAATATTCCAAGTTAAATGAAATAATTAAAAATAAGGTGATATATGCGGCTGACTATGTCTACGTTCGTGGAGAACAGAAAGCAAACTTTTTACTCAAGAAATGTCACATTTTTGGTGTTTTTCCCAACATTATTGATGTTTGCAAGTATGATGGTACACCGTGTGCTACTGGAAACTTTGTTGCTGATTCCAATCCATGCCACACCAACGGACAATTTTCCTGTACCCAGAGAAATGTTGAACGTCTACGCCACTGGTTTTCAAATATCATATTACCTATGTAGTTTTTTCTATTTTCAATAAAATATTAAACGTATTATTGTAGTTTTATTGAAAATACCTCTGATTTGCGAAATAATTGTCAGAATGTCTATACTATTTTCATTTTGAACGGTATCATCCTGTATAATAATAACAGTACATCGTATACAGGTTATGAGACATTCTGACCGACCGACCGACCGACCAGAGGAGCCCACCACGCTATTTAGGTCACGCCTTGCTATATACGATTTAACGATATACCGTCGGTCCATCGATCCGCTATTTTTCGATGCACCCCTGTATACACGTTGCCCCCCGTAACGCCAACACCAGACAGGTGCGGCATCGGCGCCATCTATGCGCGAGATGCCCAACCCATCAATGGCAGTTGTCCAATGACACATAGATTCCGTTTGGTTTGTACAGCGCCAAACAAATCGGCGCCATCTATGCGCGAGATGCCCAACCCATCAATGACAGGTGTCCAATGACACATAGATTCCGTTAGGTTTGTACACCGCCAAACAAATCGGCGCCATTTATGCGCGAGATGCTCAACCCATCAATGACAGGTGTCCAATGACGTATGACAGATGACGTGTAACGCCATCTATGCGTGAGATGCCCAATGACGCATGACAGGTGTCCAATGACACACAGATTCCGTTTGGTTTGACAGCGCCATCTAGCGGCGGAATCCCCAACTCATGAATACAGATTCCGTCCAACAACCTGTCAATGGCGCGCGACGCCAGCGCCTCTGGTGGCGGATTTTGGAAGTTTTGAGACCGAATCCCCATAAGACATCTACTTAAGTCATTTCCAGTTATTGTTACACCGCCAGCTTACTGCAAAAAAAAGATAACTCAATTTGTATACTTTTCGAGTTGCGTACATTTTCACACTTTCATGTACTTAGGATGTACCTGTGAAATAAGGATAAATGTAGTGCAGTATTAACGTCATGAGCATGTTAATCCTGCTCCACGGAACATACTAAAATATAGGTAATGTAGAAAAGTAGAGTTATCTTGTTTTTACAGTAATGTTACGGTTTTGTATATTTTAATGTAGCCAGTGTCACTCGCACCACTAAGACGAATCCAACGACACTTCATATGTGAAAATCCGTCCAGCCGTTTGTCCTGTCGGTAAAAATATGCACGTTATCCATATCAACCCAAATGAGAATCACTCTCAGCGTGACGTGATGCGTGCCGGCGGACGAAAACCGAACAGCGGAGCATCCGGCACTACGTAATACCGGTGTCGTGCGGGTATCGGAAGCAAAAGTATCGATACTTCTAAATATCGGATCGTATCGAACATCCCTAGTTTCCCGTTAAAAACTACCAAGACCCATAAAGAACACACTTTTGTTACGTTACTCAGGGCACCAAAGGGAATATTGAAGCATTGAAAAACAGTGCTCGGAGAAATTGAATAGGACGGACTGAATGTACAAATATATTATACTCTTACTTTTACTTCACTGGGTGAAGTCATCCAAAAACTATCATTTGGTGTGTTTGACTGTTTAGAGGATTTTCACTTTTGCGCCTGAAAACCCTTTTAGTCTAAAGAAGCAAATAGTGAGGTGTATCTTAAGACTGTATTATAGTAATATAAAAACATAATGTAAATATACATATAAACAATTTAAATAATTAACAAAATGAGTAGCAGAATATACTTAACTGTTATAGAAAATACAAGTTGAATGATAAAATATAAATATCAAGGCTGACAACAATATGTCTTATTTTTTCAGCTCTGACACTAAAATACCAACCAATATGGACGCTATAACAAGTCCAACACAGATAAGAATGAAAAGCCTCTTCCTGTATTTTCTCTGATATTGTGATGCCTTGACAAGTTCCTCAGTACCCTCCTCAACATTTCCAACTGCATGATCTATGCTGTTTTCGATTGTGTCTGAAACAAAAATCAACTTCAGTGTAAATACATAAATATTTTGGATTTAGTTCTCTGTTACATCTTCAAATTTTGGAAAAATTAAGACTGCATCACTTACCAATAACTTCTCCTTGCTGATGTACCAGAGATCCAAGTTCTCTCATGATTTGATTAACATCTAGTATATCCGATTCTATCTGTTTAATCCTGCTTTCTCTCTCTAGCAACATGTCCTGCTCGAATGCTGCCTCTCGCACCATCTGTGCTTGACTTTGCTCTTCAGAATCACTGGGCACAGTTTCATTCTCAATGCTGACAGAAACTAAGAGGTGAGCCTTCTGCTTGTTTGCTAGTTCCTAAAAATTTGATACACATTACAACAAAAAAATATTAGCTATTGGTACAGTATATAGCAATGCGACTCCCCAAAAAGTTTTAGTGAATTTTGGGTCAAATCTTTGGTTTTAACCGCTCAATACATGCAGGAACAATCTGCTATGTGCAATCATGTTGCATGACTGACACTCTGTAGTAGTCTGCAGGTAGTGTGTTTTAAACAGCCTTTGCTGCTGGGATATTCTGCATAATGAGATGAATGTGTGTTATTTGGTAACCCATATGGGGAGTTATTTTGTTGTGTATTAAATACGCTGTGCTATTGGATCAGCATACCTTTTGCAAAGAATAATACTTGTTTATGGCATCCTTGAAATTTCCTTCCAACTTCTCTACTTGTAGTAACTTCTGCTTATCACCCTTTGCTATTATAAGTTTCAATTTATTCAAATCTTTGCTAGTAACAGATGCGATTTGATTTGTGCTGAGTTGAGTAACATGTCTAAAACAAAAAAACTTATTTTCTCTAGAGTATGAAAGAACACAACTGTATACTTACACTTTATTGCGTAATCCTGGACTGTCTTTCTTAGTTCCTATCACTTTAAGAGCATTATCCAATGTCTTCAAGCTTGAATTTATAGTGTATATATTTGTCACTACATTATCACAATAGCTGTTGAATTCTGTGCTATTAGAACTGCCTCCACTGAAGCCTATATTAGGATTTGGGTTGCTTATGGAACCATAATTCTGAGATGGTCTACTCATCTTAGCGTGAAACATAATATATCAGCTCTATTTTACTAAATATAATATTTTGAATCTTCTTGGAACAATCATTATAAACACATTATAAACTAATTACTCATCAAACTATTCTTTTATCACGTATTTATTTTCCTCTGTCAGCTGTTTTTCTGTCAAACATGAATCATCAGGCGTAGATGCTTAGACGTCCAAGCGTAATGAGAAAGAAAACAGAATCTCCATTCTCCATAATAGCTGTCTATATATCAGGCATCACAAAGTTTCTTGGTGCTGGTTAACTTTCTCGGGTAGAGATGTCGCCGGCTGTTTGCAGCGTGAGAACTGTCAGTTTAATCAATCAAACGTCATACGTCATGCAGTTTTCAACCTAAATAAATACAGTAAACACATTTTTAATAATATTCAATTTATCACTTTTACCGGCATCATTTAACACTTCCGCTGCTTATAACTTATTATAAAGCAAGTTGTAACAGCTATATAATGGTGCAATAAAGAGTAATAGTGCCAGTATAGCAGATTGTCACATTCAGAGTATTTAAAGATAGTGTCTGCAAGTTATTTTAAAAACGAATGCCTAGCAGTTGTTAAAATTCGTTTAAAACGGCAAAATGTTGGTCTGGCAAAGTTCCTTAGACAATGGGTGATCCTTCTTTTCATTATTAGCTTTGCCTTGATTTTTATCAACATATTCCCGAGGTTCTACATAAGTAAGTACCTACTTGAAACATTTTGTTCTTTGTTACAAGCCTCAGACGTACATTCATAAATTTCTTTGTGCGAAAACTTTTTTATACAATATAAAAAGCGGCAGTATTCCTTTTTTTATAAAATAGTGATGAGACACTGTAATAAAATTTTCTATCCTTTTTCAAGGCTCAAGTGTTGGGCAGGATCAGTATACTTAATGTATCATCAGGTTGCTTTAAAAAATTTGGAAAGCCATTAGATATCTGAGAGCGTATAACTGTAACCTCAGACTACCCATTAATGTATTTTATTATGTAGAAGAATTTTTTAAAGGACTTTATGTAATTGTGTAGTTTTAAATCCATTTTCAATCTATTTGTATTTGTGCCCTCTGTATCCAGCTGACCAATATGAGATTAATCCTGTCATAACTTCTATCTTCATTTGTGTTCAATTGTATTTTTGAAGGAATAGATCTAAGCATCTAAGTAACCTCAATGAATAACTATTGCCCATTGCTGTCTCATTGGTATGTTGAAATATGGAATTAATCTACAGGGTGACTTCGAAGTTGAGTCATTTATTTTAACAGTGAGTAGATCTGATCAAAAGAAATGTTTTTTTCCTTTACCATTTTTCTGGTAAAATTAAAGTAACAAAGTTATAGCCCTTTGGAAGTTTGAGTACCGCCCTGTCTCAATGTGCTCGTGTTTGGCGACAACGGATATAATCCGTCGTATCGGTTCATCGCATCGGAAAAAAAGCGAAAGAATTTGGAACGAATTATTTCATTCATTTGTATACAGTAAGTGTCAGTGAATAGTTGTATCTGTTGCGTGGCTCAAACGAAATAAAAAATGGCACATGTTTATGCGGAACGGTTTCCCAATCGAGTGCAACCAACCCCTCGTGCCTTTGTTAATGTAGTACAACGGGCTCGTGAATCAGGTGACTTAAGACCTCACAGGGGACCTCACGATCAAATACAGGTCCGCACTGAAATACTTGTCGGGAGGATACTTTATAAAACAAGGTAAAAAATTTTTTTTAATTTTTTTTTTATTTTTACACACATATTTTGGTTTATATTCCTTCTACAATCATTATCTGAAAATTAATGACTCAACTTCAAAGTCACCCTGTATATTGTTTACATCTCTGATATCCACAAAAACTCTACCTCAAAAGAGGTGGATACAACCAAACATTTTATAAACATTGTTAAATATCACATTATCTGCTAAAACAACAATAAGTAGCACTTCCAAGAATGTTGTATCAAAGGTGTGTCAATTCAATGAACTTAAAAATAACAATACAATGCTTATTTCTAGTGAATTTTCTGTATATTCTTGTTCATATGTATGTAGCTGAACTTTATTGAATGTGCCTTTACAAGGTCACTCTAGCCTCTGAATTTTTTGTAAATGCTTATTTATTATAAAATGTAAGGCAAAAATTAATGTTTTCTATTTAGCACTCAGTATGTAGAAAATTGAGTAAAATTTGCTGTTTTCCTGTTCTAGGAAAATACAATGTCAGAGAAAAAGGAGACAGAGAAGATACTGTATATAAATCTTATGTAAAAAATGATGTCTCTCAAACAAAAACTGAAACAGATAATGATGATCCATGTGAAACTATCCACATAGGCATTGTATGTGCAGGATATAACTCTAATCTATATCTACATACTCTATTGAAGTCCATATATTTCTATAGAGTGAATCCTATACATTTCCATATAATCACAAATAAGGCCTCGAAGCACATACTGAAAACCCTTTTTGATAGTTGGAATGTTCCACAAGGTTTGTTCAAAAAATACAGCACTGTTCTCTTAACAGGTGATGAGACAGTGATAAGTTTTAGAAAATTTTCGGATTTTCAAAGTTCTGAAAATTTCGATTTTTTTTAAATTCTAAAGGTCTTCTAAATTTTTGAGAATGCCTAGAATTGTGCAAATTTTGAAAATCTCCTAAACCTTGGACAGCCATTATGACTGTTACAGGCTATTATAAAATACAATGTTACATTCTTCAATAAAGGTTCTTCAAGAAAGCATTACTGTTCGTTTAAAGTCCAAGAAGAGATTGTTACTCAAATGGCCTCAAGGAACATGTGCAGATATAAATCTGACCCTTATGTTTCCCTCAGTTATTTTTAAAATAATGTTTTATTTTATATATTTTTATTAGGAATATCAAAACTTTGTTCATAGGAGAGCTCTCCAAACTTGACATAGCTATCTATCTTAAGCTAAATTTGCTGAGGCACAAGATCTTAATTCTCAGAACATATCTCTCTAAGCAACTTGATGAAGTCACATTCTGTGGTTGTTTTAGGGCCAAGTGGCAACTGTCTTGTTTGCTCCTGAAAAGCGTAGTCCCTACAAACAAATATATCACCCGTTCAATTGATCAGTATTTGAACTATGGAGCAGTTTTGTAAAAAACATGTTTTTATTTTAGTTTTTGTTACATTTTATGATATGAATGACTTTCTGCATGATGTGAGATGGATTCCAAACAGTCATTATTCTGGAGTGCATGGTTTGATGAAGTTGGTGTTTCCCAAAGTTATCCCTTTAACTGTCACAGACAAGATTTTGGTATTAGATACTGATTTGACTGTAGTAAATGACATATACGATCTGTGGAAATTATTCAGAAAGTTCACTGGAAAGCAGGTGAGATTCTTACCTCATTTGTGTAAAGAAGATTTTAAATGAGCAATATCATGGTTGCAATATTTGGCTATATGATTGGCAACTAGCTCAACCATCATGACTATATATGACCCAGCTATATGTATACATTACTGCAATATTGCTGTTATGGTATCTATACACTTTTTAAAATTACCTCATCAGTGGGACAACAAAATGGAGTAAAATGGCTGATGAAATTGTACTCGTCGAGGTAGCGTACATTACTTACATTACATTAAGTAGGATTCTGATTGTTTAACAGTCTTACAGCAATTTATATATGAAAATATATAGGAAAAGTCAAATACAAGTAACTATACAAAAAATATGACTGTGTTACATAGTATTAGTTCTATTGCTGGTAATCTGGCTGGATGTTCTATTGTAGCTACATAATGCAGTAAGATATTGCCTCTTTAGGAGCACCTCGAAACTTGATACCTTGTGAATCTATTATTGAAGAATATCTAAAAAAGTTCTTATGGATTATTTTTTCAGGCTGTAGGTATAGTGGAAAATCAAAGTGACTACTATCTAGGCATAAACACTTGGCCTGCCATAAATAAAGGGTAAATACTACTATTAAAAACATTTTTTGAATTGCTTAACATGGACTTTTAGGTTTAATTCTGGTGTGTTGTTGTATAAGCTAAGTGTCTTGAAAGATATTGATTGGCCAAATTTATGGTCAAACATCACAAAAAAGGCAGCACTGTTCTATGGATCTACTAGATTAGCAGATCAGGATATCATAAATGCTGTACTAAAAGAACATCCTTTCCTTTTATATGAAGTGCCTTGTGTATGGAATACACAATTAAGTGATCATACTCTCAGCCATAATTGTTATAAGAATGCCAAAGTTAAGGTAATATAGTCTAAAAAATACCCGATATCAAGACCCAAAATACAGTACTACTTTTTCTCAACCCTTAACAGGAAAAACATCTAAATTGAGTCTGCATTTCTTGATCATAGATTGATAACAAAATTTGCCACTTTTTATCATTTCAAGCTAATATGCTTCAAAAATACATTTTAGATAGTACATTGGAACTCGCCAAAGAAATATAAAGTAGATAATAGAGATGGGGACTACTTTCGCAGTTTAGCTGTAGGTTTCCAAGAATATAATGGCAATTTATTGAGGAAAAAATTGCAAGTTTGTGATATTGCACCAGTCATAATTATGGTAAGATCGTACCCAAAAATTAAACAATTAATTACTTTGACATGGATTACATTTTCTCTGTTTCATGTCCAAATATTACAGAATGAATCTGAGGAATTCTGTTCAGAATTCAGGAATCTTTTGAACACCCCATTTAGGACGCTGTTATACTTCAGAGAGTATGACTACAAACCAGTAGATAATGATGTAACATTTGTTGCACAATTATCATATGACAGGTTGCAGAGGATAGAAGAGTTAGTCAAACTATGGACAGGTAACAATACATAAAATGGATACAATTTTTTATTATTTATCCTTTTTCATCTGTAGGTCCGATATCGTTAACATTATATGTGTCCGATGCTGAACTGGTGAAATGTATATCATTCATAACAAGTTCAGAGGTCTTGAAAGAACGTACGGACATTGCATACCATGCTGTATTTAAAGATGGGGTAAGTAGCTTCTTGACCTTGCTGAAAGTTTTACTAATTTGGGTTAATTTCAGGAATATTATCCCATAAATAAGTTAAGAAATGTTGGCTTGAGGAATGTTCAAACCCCATATGTTTTCTTAGCGGACATTGATTTTTTACCTAGTAAAAGTTTGTATATCAACCTAGTCAAGCATATTTCGGACATGGGCTCTCTAAAAAAGAAGGTATACATACCTACTATATGTGAATGCATATAAAAAAATGCAGCTCCTTTCACCTTTTACCTTTTTAGGCGTTAGTTGTACCCGCATTTGAAATTCAGAAAATAGGTACATCAATACCCCGCAATAAAAGGCAACTTCTGAGCAAATTAGAGGACAAATCGGTGATACCATTTCTATCTAGTGTTTGGGCTCCTGGCCATGCCCCTACTGATTATGAAAAATGGAAAACGGCTGAAGAATCTTATCAGGTAAAGATTGTAAGAATTGACTAGTGTATTCAAATCTGATATACACCCGTCTAAATAAACACCAGCATACGACCATAAATGCCTGAGCAGGTAGCAACTAGCGAGAATAAGTGGCGGTGGAGTGATGATGTTAGTTTTGCCGCTAGTTCCCCAACGAATGACCTGATTTGAACGCGGCTTTTTAATCAAAACGAGATTCATTTGGAGGATAGGAGTTTTTTAATTTATCTGGCAAATAATCTGTATAGTTTCATAGTCTCACTTTTTTACGCCATTTTTTTATTCATTCCCTCATTGGTTTTAGGTTGAATGGAAACCTGACTATGAGCCGTACATAGTTGTTTACAAAGACGTAGTAGGGTACAACGAAAAATTTGTGGGTTTTGGTTGGAACAAAGTTTCACACGTCATGGAGTTAGAAGCGCAAAATTATCAATTTATCGTTCTACCAAATGTTTTTATTGTACATACTCCACATACACCGAGTTATGATATTGCTAGATTCCGATCTTCTCCTATATATAGGCTGTAAGTACATGTGGAAAAAATTGTATTAGTAGAAAACAATTAAATCTGTAAAAACTCATATTTGATTTTTTTCCAGGTGTCTTCAAATGTTGAAAGAAGAATTCATCATGAAGCTAAATAAGAATTACAATCGACATTTTGTGTATACAAATTCCTCAATAAGTCTTATGAATGTCTACTTGAGACGAAGGAAAAGAAATTTTGTACTCCCTGGATCTCAAACCACTGTTGAGACTAATACGGATTATCCCTCTAATTCTGAATGATGTTTTACTCATTTCTGGCTATTTCAACAAATTATTTTTATCAACACCGATTATTGGTATTATGATGTTATATGAATATTATTTAATGAAATATATGTGATTTTATCCTACTTTTAAGTTATTTTCAACTCCCTCAGTACCCCTTGATTGCATCCTGGTTTAAAAAAAAAATTTAAAATTTTCATACCTAATTTATGAGAACAATTGCGAAGTTTTGACATTATGAAAGAAAGAATACTATAAAATTCTGAAAAATAACATAAGTATATGAATAAAAAATGGCCGCAAGTAGGTTGACTCTGCACTTCACACATATCTCCTTTATCAGTACAAACTAGACCCTCTGAGAACAGTCAGCCAAATAAACAATTAATACAAGTTTAGAGAAAACTGCCATGGACCTTTTGTTCAGAATATTCTATAAATACATAAAAAATTGTAAGGAGCGAAATATTCTTTTTTTTGTGATTTGGGAAAATTGCTTGAACACATTTGCAGTTGGTGTAACCGGTAATCTCTTTATTCATGTTAAGGGACATATCATGTGACATGCAAAAAGTATAATCTGCTACAAGCCTGTAGTCTTCATATACATACAAAGGTCTGCATACTAATTTTTTGATAAATAAAGGGCTGCCATGCACTTCGTCTGAAAATTCTCCAAATAAATATTTCAAAAATATTTTCCAAAATACACCCCAGTCTTGACTGCTTGGCCAATGATACAGTGTGTCACAAAAGTTCCGGAACGGCTATGTAATTTGTCGGGAAAGGTATTTTTTTAAGAGATGGAGGTCAGGTCTTCAGTAACTTTCAGCAAGGAATTCGACGGTGACCGTGGTCTTCACCTTCAAGGTTAATTTACCGTCAAATTTATTTTTTCAAATAGAATCCCCAATGTTTGATGCCGGAAATCGAAAGAACAGAAAATTTTACATTCAAACACAAAGTATAAGGTCAGAATGACTACTAAAGGTGAAATGAAGATCAAATATATGCTGCTAGGAAAACCTCTATAAATCTCACAGGAGTAGTGACGAAAGTAAGATCAAGGTCAGGTCTGTAGTCAATTTCCACAAGTGATCTTAGATTTGACCTTGACCTTTAAGGTCATTTTTTCAAATAGACACCCGCAGGAACAGTATTGACTAAAAATCAATCTTGACGAGCGCCGTAGTTCCCTCGCTAAAACTGAGCCAAAGTTCTTACCTTGCCAGTTATTTTCATCACTATTCGTGTGAGATTTCTAGCAGCACACATTTGGTCTTTATGTGACCTATAGTGGCCACCCTGACCTTGAATTCTAATACACCTTTGAATATAAAATTTCCGGCTCTTTGTATTGTCCGCATCAAATAGGCGTTTATATTTGGAATAGGAGTTGATCTTGAAATGACCTTTAAGGTAAGGTTCAAAGTCAAATCCAAGATCACCGCTACGTGTGAAAATTTACTAAAGACCTGAACTTACCAGCTATTGAAGGTGGGGTTCAAGGTCAAACCCGAGATAACTCGAAAAATTTACTAAGGAACTTACCTCAATAGTTATTTTCATCACTAATCCTGTCAGATTCAAAGTGGTTTTTCTAGCAGCGCACATTCGAGCGTTAGTGGTCACCATGACCTTGATCTGACCTTGTCTTCAGTTCGTATTTGAACGTAAAATTTTTCGCTCTCCATGGCTGGCATCACAAATAAGGATTTCTATGAAAAATTAAATTGTCCTTGAAATGACTTTGAAGGTGAGGATCATCAAATCCCAGATCACCGTTCACTCCCTCGTTAAAATTTACCAAAGACCTGACCTTGATAGTTATATTCATTACTCATCCTGTGAGGCTTTTATAAGTGAACGTAAAATTTTCGGCTCTGTCGAATGCCGGCATCAAAAATAGGGGTTTCTATTTGAAAAAATAAAGATGACAATGAATTAACCTTGAAGGAGAATGTCTAGGTCAAATTCAAGGACACCGTTGAATTCCCTGCTGAAAGTGACTGAAGACCTGCCCTTGACATTTTCCAAAAATACCTTACCCGAGAAATTGTGGAACCGCTTGTTATGCTGTTGATAAGCTCCGCGCCCTATCTCAAAAACGGGAAATTGTATGAAAACTTGCGTGAAACAAATGTTGTAGAGAATCTCACTCTCTACGATATTCACACTGAATGCAAGTAGTATTGAACGCATAGTAAGCGAGATTCTTTGCAAAAAGCCGATTTTGTGACCTTTGACCTTTTACATCTTAAGACGCGAGCACGAGATTTTTTGAAACTAACGAGACTACTTTTAGAATGACAAAATAAACGTTTACAGCTTATTATCTTTCATTTCTAAGTGAAGCCCCTAATATGACTGGATTATTCAGCATCACATCGATTTAAATGTTTTAAACTCTCATTACTTCAGCTGTCTTCGCGCCATACCAAGTCAGTGTCATATCAACGTTAATATTGAAAGACGTCTCTTCGTGTGCGTTTTAAACTCCAGACTCGTGCTATATATGTAAACGCTTAGTTTTCAGTCATTTTTCATCTGTAGCCTGCATTTGAACGTTCACCGCGCTCATTCCGAACACGCACAAAAAATAGTAACGAAGGTTGGGGTGGTGAAAAGTTTGTGTAAATAATTGAATAAGAATAATGATATTTCAAAATAAGTGCAAAAATTTCAGGAGGTAATCTCTTGCTGAAGAAATAATTTATTATATTATACGATGATTCAAAAAACATGACAATAAAAATAACAAAAAAAAGTTCCTAACACCAGAAATATCATCAAGAAACACGGTGTTTGTGTACATTTTATGCGACTTCGATTTCGAACCAATTTTTCTCCAAAAGTAACTTGTTAGGGGTTTATCAAAAGGAACGATGTTAAATTGAATAAATACCTTATTCAAAGATGCAATAGGTAATTCAAAAAAGTCAGTGACGTAGAAAATAATAAGTCTTTTGTATAGGGTGTCAAATCTCAAACACAAACATCACAGGATGTACTCGTATTTGGCTACAATCTCAGTACTGCATGACGTACACAATTTTTAGTCAAGGTCTTAATCCACTCGGAAGACATAATTTCATCACAATCTGTAACCCAAGTTATACGATCTTTTCGTATTATTTTTTGATCTACGTCATGACCTAGCAATATTGCCGTATTTACAACTTCTAAAAACATAAAGACGAATCAAAACATCAGAAAATTCCAAAAACATAGAATGGTTCCATAATCAGTGGTTATATACAGTGCTTCCAATAGGTTAAACAACAAATAAATCCAGTGAGCAGAAATTTTATACACGGTTTCAATTATTGGTCATTATGAATAAGGGTGTCAAGCTTTTGACTCAGTACTTTCCACGCATTCGTACATATACACTTTCAACATTTTTCATCCTTTTGAAATGTTTCACAAGGCTATGCTCCAGTGGCGACACGTGACTTTTCCTAGACTGTTACCAAAACCAGATGTGAGAAATCTTATTAAAAAAGTTTATTTTGAACCTCCCAAATATAATTTTTTGCTTATTTTAGGTATTTTATTTAAACTATTTTCACATTAAGGTAAACATTCCTCGACTGAGCGTCTGGGGCACTTGATATACCTAATCGTCTTATGCTATGACTAATCCAAGCCGTCCGAAAAAACGGTCGACGTTTCTAGTTGTTCGGAAAATGTTTGATCTTTTTTGGCAATGAATGTTAACAACTCCCTGTAATTTCCTCTTTTGTCAGAGTCATCGCCTTCAAAAAGAACGGTAATTCCTGTTTTGCCAAAAACATACGGTACCTAGAAGTGCGCTGCCTAAAAGCTTGTTTAAGACAACTTTCGATTCTTGTTTTGCCAAACTGAATTAAATTGGCTACACATCTCACATGTAATGGAGAAATTTCATGTCTCCTCTTTAGAGCCCTAAGACTATTTCAATCGTTGACTCCGCTGCTGGTCCACCCATTTTTTTCTGTATAAAACAGAAGACATCGCCAACAATACACAACACAACCACATAACCAAGAGTTTCCATATACCAACTTAATTTAAAATATCAAAGTACGTTTTTTATTCCTTTTTAAAATTATCTAAAGTAGGTGTTGTCTTCCATTTTCACTGATATCCTTTTTTTTTCTTAAAAATTATACAAGGAGAATGACTTTTCAAGTAGTTGATCGATTACGCAGCGACACTCATCCATGTTTAATTGCATGCACACTACAGCCAGTAACCAAAACAGTTACTAACGAGTGAGAAGTGAGTAACCAAATCAAAAAATGGGCGACCGCGATCAGAGACGAGCCGGTACCGACGGTCCTCGACGGACTACCAAGTGTATACATAAAAGAAAATGGTAACAACCGAACCGGCAACCAAGTCGAGGCGAGTCAGCTTCATCGTGTTCGCAAAACCTAGACACTATAGGGCACATTATTTTCGTAGGGCTAATTTGCTATTTACTGAATTACTATTACATACCGCTGTTGGTAAAGAAATAAATGAAATTATTTCACAGTACTTAGTCATAAAATATTTATCGCCACTGCTATGCTCGAATAAAAATATGAGTGTTACTAAATTCTTGATACGACTCACAGTAACTAGAAGCTTGGAAAACGGTCCATACGTTCAAAAATGAAGTTTTGTTACCTACTAGCATCTCACAGCATTAACGGGGCTCCTACAATCACGAGCACCATCTGCTGAGGTAACGGGGGTTGAAGAGGAAACGATTGTGGGCTAGTCTTAGACGGTGGTTGGCACAACTTTAAAAGAGGAAAGGATGACTGCGGGTGCCTACCGAGGTAAATTTTTATAATAACAGAGTCGGATTTCGATTAGCGATCTAGCCTGTAAAGCGTTTCCTGTTTTGGTACTCAGCTAGTGATCATTTAGTATTGTTCTACCCTTGTTACTGTTCGTCGATATTGTATTGTTGAATTGTTGTGTTGTACTCTTGTTGGTGTGATTGTTCTTGAGTGAATTTTTTATCAAGGTTGATAATGGACAATAAAAGGTCATATGCGACAATTTTAATTACGAATTCAGTGAGTTTAATTCATAATGAGGACAACAATAGTGTGGAGCAGTTCAACTCTATAATCGCAAAATACATTGGAGTAAGCGAATAAATTATTGCAAGAAGAGGTCATACCATGGAAGATGTGCTGCAGCTGTAGTGAGCCACGATACCGAGCGGCCTGTCTATGTGGTCCAAATACATTTGCGTTCTAAGCTTAGTCCAACCTCGCTTATCACTAAGATGGAACAAATACTCAAACGCAAGAATCTTGTAAAGAAACTCAGACCAATAAAAGTTGATATAAAAATAACTAACAATTCGGATGGCAATTCCAAAGAAAATATATAATAGTTTTATGGCGAATTCTGTCAAAAACCTGACATCAACGACATTGATTTGGAGGTTGCTAAGCAAGAATTTTTAGGGAAACTTAGAAAAAGTGACGACGAGATTTTGCATATCGAACAAGTCACCAAATCACAGGACTGTGCTTTGAGGCGTCTTCATCGGAGGATAAGGTTGACAGCGTCTCGATTTGGTGAAGTTTGTAGAAGAAGGCAGACAACAAGCTGTAAAGTTCTAATAAACTCAATCATATACCCAACAGAGTTTTCTAGTAAGGCAATACAAAAATCATTGGACACGGCAGTTCAATCTTGTGGTTTGTTTATTGATCGCACACATCCATTTCTGGCAGCATCACCTCCATCTACCTATTACAGTAGACAAGGCATGTACTTAATCCAGGTATAAGCCTACCTGTTTATTGCTTTGCAAAAACTGTTTCATCTTATTTTGACGGCATAAGATATTTTTATGACCCTCGTTCAATTGCTACCATCTACCACACGACCCTTGTAAACTTAATTGTGTTTATTGACATGAATAAACGAATTAGAATTTGAGTTCTTGAATTTATTTTAGGAAAGATATAAAATTAATTGAATATCTACATTTTTTCTTAGTCGGATCGCACCGTCGGGTCGCTTGGACTGGCAGGACGAAACAGTAGATGAATTTCGCTAGAAAAAACCGATTTGCACTTCACAGCTCACTTTTTATTATTTCCAAGTGAAACTCTTGCAGCGTGCTAAAAACAAAGTCCTCAGGATGCCAGGGATGCACTTTTTCGATTTTATCCACTAGGATCTTTTTAAAATATCAAGAAGTTGAGCACAAATAGTGAGCATTTCAACCCACCATAATTCTTTCGCAAAGACAAAATTTTGTAAAAAGCTGTGATAGCACCCTAGGCCTGCTTATATCCAGAAAAACATCACAAACTGCAGAACACAAAAGGTAACGGCGAAATGGTTACATTTCATGGGTTATGAAATTCAAATGAAAATGCAGGTATAAAATCTACCAAATGATCGTTCTCAAAAACATTGTTCTTTGACATATCGATAATTTTAAAGTTCCACGCTAAATTCCCCTATACTTGACTGGAGTGATATCCGAATTTTTCCTTCCCTACTGTCGGTAGTTGCAGATCTGTTGGCTGTTGGTGTCAAACCTATAGAGCAGGTACCGATTTTTACTTAAACTTCCTGTAATCACTGGGATCAGAAGCTACTTAGTAATAGAACGTGTTTCACTGATTTCAACCCCCCCTTTTTAAGCAGTACAATTTTTTATGTCAATGAAACGTCAAAAACGGAGTTTCAGCAATTGTTACTTTTTCTTTTTTGCCTATAGCACCGTTGCAACTGGACTAAAACTACAAAGCTTTGCCATACTAGTAACCGCGTGTGGAAATTTCATAAAAATCCGAGCGGTAATTTCCAAGTTGATAATGAGTGATACAGTTTTTCGTGATGTAGATGTCATATGACTTAAAAAAACATAACATCTCATTTTAGAAATTTTTCGCGATTAAAATACTTCCTCGCCAATGACGTGGGAAGTAAAACGGCTTTAAAGTCGAGGAGTATCAGCGATCGCGATTATGAGTACCTATTTGCAGAACGACTTATCTACGCGATATTATATGAAGTAGGGCCACCAAATTATCTGAATACGTCCTTTCTTAGTCCGTACATTGCGCCGCAACGCTTGGTTTGGCAGCACGAGACAGTAGACAAAATTCGTCCAAAATACGATTTGTAGAGGTTTGCGCGCTTCGAAATTGACGCTTTGTTTTTTGATATTTTTGGATGAACTTTTCACAGAGTACTGAAAACAAAACCCCACAGGGTGCTATACAGCCACTTTTTCATTTTTTCAATAGGTTCTTTTTAAAAAAATCGCGAAGTTGAACAGAAAAAGTGCGCACTTCAACCCATCATAAAACTTGTGCAAAAACAAAATTTCAAAAAGTGCTCCTATAGCACCCTGGGCTCTTCTCAACATACTGTATGAATTTCATTCAAAAATAGTGAATTAAGGAGTGTCAGTTTTGAAGCAGCTGAACCCTTGTAAATGGCTTGAAACTCACTGCGTCGGAGCCGCCTTAAGCATCATCTAAAAACCTGACACCAGGAAACGTAACAAATTCAATTTCCAAAGAAATCCCTTGTCATTAGCGCAAATCAAATACTTTTATATTACCCTTGACAATATATTTTCAGATCTTTTTCATTTTAAACATGCATACCTATGCTTCATGCTACAACCAATCTGACAAAAACAAATTCAAACTCACCATTTACCTTATAGTGTCTTTCATTATATCCATTTATTCATTCGAAAGTTTTTGGGAACAATCACTTCCAATTATGTACTACTGATCGACTATCCCAAACGTTAAAATCACTCGGACATATTAATTTCACAACTTATGAGTACATTTTGTGTGGTACAATGTTTTGCCTACAACTGTTATAACCTTCGTATGTCTCTGTTTTTTTTTGGAAATTATGTTGTCCATTCGGTTCTAATGAGCACCCATTACATTATTACAATGATGACCTCTCCCGAGGTATGTAGGTATAGAATTTTTTCATCACTAACCTGAGAAATCGCCATCATTTACCGCCTTTTTCTAAGGCACCGGTAGATTTCTCTCCCTAGATAAATAACGAAAAAGTTCATAGGTAAATAATGAAGGTGAGCATTCATGAAAACCTATTTGGCTTGTTGGGCACAGAATTGTCATTGTTATTAAAGTTTTTTTTAAATTTTGTAATATGACTAATTATTGTTTAGAAGTGAATATATTGTATAACTGAAACCTTCTATCATTATCGGACTTCATCATGTAGCGGAATCGTCCCTTTCCTACGGACGTGCAGATGTTGCGTGTGCTTTATTCGGGCAGTGTTGCCGGACGTTCGGAAATTTCTCAGATATGCTATATTCCATTAAGCCTAATCAAATAAAATATGGCAATATCTCATACTTAGTAGTGAACAAATTCCTTTGTTCACCAGTGGCGTACAATTTTTGGCTAAGCAAAAGACAAAAAGTCAAATTACCTCTAGCGTAGAAATCGCGGGCTTCTGCCTATACTATCGCGGCCCCTTCATTATAAATATTCAAGGTATTAATTAAGTGTGTAACACCAATTTAACAGACGTTTCTTAGAGTAATTTAAGACAAAAAATTCATATGAAGATAGGTTCGAAAATTCTTTGTTCTCAAGATACAGGCTGTTAAAATTAAAAAAAAAATGGTTTTTCGTAAATATCTTAAATATCCGTTACTCATTTTTATTGTAATTTGTCAGTGGTATTTACAACATTAATGAGCTAATTTAGGTCTAACTCGATTAAATTTATCCAGCTCAGTGGAATCTCGAACGGGATCTGAACGAATATTTGTGACAAGAAAATGTACGAATTGTCTCTCTCTTCGTATCTTGCTTATTTTTCGGAAAAAAAGTCCACTTAATTGCATATCTCTGTACAAGTTTCTTTTGGAAATTATTTGCTTATATAATTTTTTATTACTAATTATTTTAATGTTGTTGTTAAATAATTAGTAATAGAAAATTATAAAAAGAAATAATAATTTTCAAAAAAAACTTTTCCCTTATTCCTTGTATGGTACAGGGATATGCAATTGAGTCGGCTTTTTTTTCTCGAAAACCAAGCAAGGTACGAAAAATATCCAGAAGACAAAAAAGTTGTATTTCTATTTGCTTAATCCCAAGAACATAGTAAAAATGCGCAAGTCAGATTCGTTCCGATCCCGCTCGAGACGCCACTGGACGTAATAAATTTAATCAACTTAGAACTAAATTAGCTCATTGATGTTATAAGTGCCATCGCCAAATTACAACAAAATTAGGTAAACGATATTTAAGATATTTGCGAAATTTTGAAATTTCCTATCTTTATATGAACTTTTGTCTTAAAAAAAACTCAAAGAATCGTCTGATAAATTTATGGTACATACTTAATTACACCCCGTATAAAACTTGCTTTGATATTTTTCATGCTGAATATACGCTAAAATTTTTTGTACAACAGTCTGTATATTTCTAACTCCTTTGCAGCAACAGTGGTACTTCGGCATTCAGGCACTTCCTTCACGGCCACTTCAGTATGAGAAAAAAAAGAATTCACTGGAGATCTACTCTTTTCAGGCTTTCATGAAACACCGCCACAGATCGTCTCTTTACGGTCCATATAACGAAATTAGTTATAAAGTTATAGGTCTGTTAAAGTCAGTGGGTCGATTTATATCTTCCTTGAGTCTGCTGCTTCGTTTATGAGCACAAACATTACCGTCATTATTTTCGCTGACTACCGTTTCCAACACGAACCGTCGAAGCTTTTTATACTTACAGTTGTAGCACAACGTCTGTATTGAAAATGCTCGAACAATATTATTCAAAGTAAGTACACATAGGCACATCAAGTAGACTGTTACACTGCTTAAACCACAAAGTACTACCAGCGCCTGTCACTACTACTATGTACGAGTATTTGGGGCTCTCCTCCGTGTGACAGCGCCTCCAACATCATCTGTTTCTTGTCCAATAAAGTCCAGAATTCATAGAACCAAAATTGTTTATGTGTGTTTTGACATAAACTAAAATATTTGATATGTATACTGAAGGTAGCGTTAATATCTTCAAACTTATGAATAATTCCCTGCAACTAAAACGCCTTACCACCTTTGGTTCTAATAGCCGTTTTTTATTCTATAAAAAAAGCCTTTGCACTTGGCCGCCCCCATGCTTCTATTCCATAAGCCAGAGTATAATCGATATATGTATAGTAAAACATAAACAATATCCACTTATCAACGACAAAACTCATCTGGTACATGGAACAGCAGAGTAGGGTAACTTTTCTCTATATGTGTATCCCTTTTATAGTTTTAGGATATATAAATTCCTAAAATTGTTGTTGTTTCTGCTTGTTCTATCAGTCTACCATTCAATTTTATAAGGAGGCTATGGTCCATCTGCATATTAGAGTAGTTAAACCTATTGTTTAAGACCAGGCCATTATTACTGAACCATTGTTTTGCACCAGCTAAGCTTGTGTTGGAATCTCTTGCCACGGACTTCAACTGTTTTCCATTAACAAGTAAGGAGGTATCGTCAGCATACTTTACTGAGGAATTGGACGGAAAGTCATTAACATATATTATGTGATGGAGGGGACCAAGTATTGAACCCTGCGGAACAATTTTATGGTATAGGCGCTGGCCGGGCTGTGTAGTCAGGACTTCAAGCTGATGTTTTCTTTTGCCCCTGTGGAACCAATCAAATGGCTTACTTTTGATTCGACACATTCAATTTATCCAAAAGTATAATATGGTCAAATAAGTGTCAACGGTCAACAAAGAAGAATTGACAATTTGCAAGGACACATATTTCTCGCCTTGAAATGATAGATGTCGTACTTATCACCTGACTTGAACAAGTGCCTGATTTTCCCAACTTTAAGTTTATCTGGAAAAGTTCCCTCCACAATGGAACAAATAACTAAAAATGCTAGAGGTTGGCTAAGGAAACTAGATGAGAGTTTTAGCATAAATTTCAGCTAATTTTATATGTGCTAGTATTGTGGGAGTTTTTAAGATTATTCATTATTGATATTATGCCATCGCTTACAGCGGATTGAAAATAGAATGAGTGAGTGTTTCTATCTATATTAATTCCATTATTTCCTGTAAAGCCTGGAATAGAATATTACTAAAATGTTGCATAAATTGTTCGGCAATCTCTATTGTTCCATTTTCTTCATTTAACTTGATGTCATAATGCTTAGGTGTATTTCTGTTCTCTTTTATTAAATTCCAAGCAGCTTTAGTTTGTTTTTTTGCAATTAGGATAATTTTGTTGTAATATAGTGGCTTAGCTGCCCCTAAAACTCTGGCATATACGATTTTATATTTCTTACAGTAACCAATTAGAGGCTCACGTACCACTACGATTTCTTCCGTCAAAGCTGTTTCTTTTCTTTACAATAATATCGGGAGGTTGACTGGTTGCAGTTGACATCAAGATCATGTAATGAAAGAACCAACAAGCACGAGTGGTTTTGAAGTGCAAGTGCAGCCGTACCTTTTAAAGGAAGCGTTTTTGACCTACTGTATACATATTGCTTACCCTAATTTTCTCTCCGTAGACAGATTACGTTATAAGCACGATAATTGTATCATGTATAAATCTACCAGTTCCATGTAACTGGATCAACAACGATCAGCCAATGAATTTGATGTATGTCGACATAGATGTTTGTTTTCGTTGTTAAAAGCAGTGTCGCGTTACCCATTACGATGTTAGTTTGTTTACATTTCGTACATTTCCAGGCGACAGTTAATATACAGGTTGGTTTATGCTGAAAAAATGTTTATTTATCTTGAATATTCTGACACCCTAACAGCAGCGCCTCCTGTAATTCTACTAGAATACATATACATTTCACGTTTCTAGCTGTCTCGACTTTTCTGCTTTCGTCATATTTTGTGTGCCATGCAAAGAATAATAAACTGCCCCTTCATCATTTTGTAATAATGTAGAAACTGCGATTTTTCTTTGCTATTAAATTTTTGGTATACATTTAAAGGCATTCATTTGGGGTTTCCTCTTGACACTTGTGCAGTTTATGTTTGACCTCAAAGAACATTGGTCCTTTCAAGTTCCTGTCGGGGAGAAACTTTCTTTCATTTTGTTCACATTTCCGTGTTGTTATGGTACATTTTCGGAGAAGAGTAGAAAAAATGGAAAGACTGGCTGTAAAGTAAGGGTTGCCCTTGAAGGCACAAGTAAAAGCAGTAAAATGCAATGGATTATGATTAGATAGAGGGATCCAATCAAGGATTTGTTTGTGTTATCTTTTGAAAGTATTATTATTTGATACAACCCGTCACGTTGGTAGACAAATCAGTCAAAAGTACGGTAAAGTAAAACTAGGCCTGGCTCCTTCTAAGGTATTCGAATTAGTTGGTAAAATGTGACACTGTTGGCAGTTTTCAAAAATAGCACGAGCTGCTTCACGTCATGTGCATTGGGTGCAAAGCTAATTCAAATTACGAGCCAAAAGCACATATGTCAAAATAAGACAAAATGAGAACCAATGCAACACAACACTAGTTTCACTAAAAGAAATCGTTATACCTATGTAAAGTCCGTTTTACATCATCAACTTCTTCTCGAATTTATTTAGATCGATTTCATCTTACATCAGTGAATCAATTTATGGATCATCTGACCACCATCCAACCACACAACAAACCCTTGCTGGAAACATTTTGAGTTTTTATACAGGGTGACTTTGAAGTTGAGTCATTAATTTTCAGATAATGATTGTAGAAGGAAGATAAACCAAAATATGTGTGTAAAAATAAAAAAAAATTATAAAAAAATGTTACCTTGTTTTATAAAGTATCCTCCCGACAAGTA